TAACCCATCCCACAAGGTTGATTGTGGGGATTAAACGAGGGGAGCCACGAACACCACCTTCGAGTTCCTCGGAGGAAAGAAAATGGGATATAATTGCAACAAATAAATATCCCCCCCCTCCTTTTGTTGCGATGCTCCCGACTAAACATTAAGAAAGGACTTTCTGGCAGGAGGAGCTGTTCCGACAGTGGGAAGGGCCTCCCTCGGACGACGTGACGACCTCTCTCCTCAGTGGAGGTTTCTCATCGGAAGTTGTATAGAGGCCATCTGCCAAGGTTGCGATCCCTTCATTGGAAGGGATGACCCATGGGGGGTGGACCTCCCTTCCAGCTCTACAATTCTATGATCCTCAATGGCTTCCATCCGTTTTCGGGCCCCACCGTGCCTCTTAATGCCCACCACCCACTTCGGACCATCCAGAGGAGGGAGGACCCCCCGCAACCCGCCAATTCGGCTCTTCCGGCCCCTCGTGGCAGCCGCGGAGGCTCCTCCCCTTTCGAACCCCCAGCCGCCGCCGCCTCCCCCTTCACGCGCCACTAGGCCGCGTCTCCCAACCGTCCCTCTGTAACCGTGTCGCGCGCCCTCAACGAAACAGCCCCTCTCTATTGGCTTTTGTTCTCTCCCCTTCCTTCACTCGTCGAGCCTCGGTCTCTCCCCCCCCCAAACTCCCCACGGAGACTGAAGGCCCCCCCGCCGCCTACTACTCCGCAGCTCCTCACCTCATGGCGGCGGCGCCGACGGCACTAAAAAGAAAGAGAGGAAGGAAGCGCGCACTGGCCAGCCTACTAGCCGACGCGTCAGTGGGCTGTACCACTCACCCCTCTCTTCCCTTTTCACTCCGCCTTCATCGCCTCGCCTTCGGTCCCCACCAGGATTGAAAGTTCTTCACGTTAAACGACAAACTGGAGGAAAATGTGAGAGTTAAGGCGGCTGGGGTAAGCGGTTTAAACAACCGGAACAACAAATTCTGTTTTCCCCCCCCATGGAGCTGAGAGTGGTATGGCCTAAAGCTCAACTGCGCCTGCGCGGATGTCTAGGCGTATGCTCGCGTGGGGAGGCGCTTCCGGGAGGGTTCTGCGCCTGAGCCAAAAGAGACAGAGAGCTAGAAAGAGCGTTTTGCGCATGCCCGGAAAGATTATGCCATAGTTTTGCTGCGAGGTGCTTGCAGAAAAGAGACGAGTGGAGACTTTCTCTTCATACTGGAGATATTAAACTTAATGATTTCTGGGGCTTCCTCTTTCTCCGTCTGGGCCTAGGAGCCGCCCATAAATAAAAAATGGAGAAATCCACATTTTATTTTAACTGTGTTTGAAAACAGCGTCCTACCCGCATGCTAAAACAGGACAGTACCAATACGGTCCACTTACTCTCTATTTGCTGCTGTGGCACAGAGAGGGGCTTAGGATTGCTTTGCAATGTAGCCTATTAACAGTGCAAATTATTTGGTGTGGGGTAGGGCTGATTTAGATTTCCAGCTAAAACTCACTTATGCAAAACAGCCTTTAACTTGCAGCTAGTGACTCCTGCAGACCCACTAAAAGCCTGAATTAGGAAAAGCAGAAAATCCTGTCCATTGCTGCAGCCTTTTGCTGGAGCCTGGCCAATCACACTTACGCGAAAACCCTGTTTTCCTGCAGACAGCCCTTACCTCCCTTTCGGGAGAGAGTAAAAAAATGGCGCCCAACGTAAACCCGAAAGTTATTTCCCGTATGCTGCTCTACATTTCTAAGTCTATGGCTAAATCCATCCGCTTTTGCGCTGCGACTCTGATCGCACAAAACATGTCCGGACTTGTTTGAAAAGAGTGCGCCTGCGCGATGAGTGTAGCATGTTGCAATTTCTGATATATTCGGTGAAATCATTGATATGTTTACTGGGGTTGTTTTCGTTGACTGACAGGAGAAAGGGCGGCTGAAAGCAAATAAGGTTGTGGCTTGGGCGCATATGATAAGCCATTGAAGCAGAACAGCAATATTAGATGTTCTCTGAAACACTCTCCCCCTTCCCTTTCTGACAACTGGTAATGTTTCCCTAGTGCTGAATTAATTCTTACACCGGTAACTCACCGGTGGTTGCTCACCGGTAGGTTTTCATTGGGCATCTTAAAATACCAATTATGGCATTTGAGTAAATATATATAGTGATGTACTGCTTGATCAGAGAGTAGGACTAGGGCAGCCTTCACCACGTATTTTCACTTTAATTCCCATCAAGTTATGCTGGCTGTGGCTGGGTCTGATGGGAGTTGAAGTCCCTAATAGCTCATTTGGCCTGGGTGACCTGGGGTCAATGACTTACTCTCACTCTCAGCCTATCTTACCTCCCAGTCCATCCTTGTGTGGGTAAAAGTGGGGAGGGGTAGACAACTATGTATGCTATCTTAAACTCCATGCCGGTGTATAAAAACAACAAGGACAATTAAAAGCCAATTACAGGGTCAGACTAGGACCTGGGAAACTAGGGTTCAAATCCCCACTCAGCCATGAATCTCACTAGATGACCCTGGGCCAGTCACTCCCTCTCAGCCGAACCTGCCTCACAAGGGAGGTTGTGGGGATTCAGTGAGAGGAGGGGGATAACCAGGTATGCCACCTTGATCTCCCTGGAAGAAAAGGGTAGGCATAAAATAATAAAATAAATAATAAAATAAAATAAAATAAATAATGGAAAGAGGCTTACCATTACATTACCATTGGATGTAAATAGTAGTGTTACTATCTACATAGGAAGCCAACTTCTACTGGAATCAGAGCACTGGTGCATCTTACGCATTATCGCCTACACTGACTGGAAGCAGCTTTCCAGGATTTTGGGCGTTCCTGTTCCAGCCCTTGTGTGGAGATGCCAGGGACTGAACCTGGGATGCAAAGCAGTTGCTCTGCCACTGAACTATGACCCGTCCCAAAATATGTTTACTCAGAAGTAACCCCATTTGAAACGTTTCCTAGGAGATATGCCTAGAATTCCAGTGTTACTGAAAAATAAACTGATTGATAGCATATGATTGTTTAAAATAGTATTATTATTCTTATTGTTGTTGTTGTTGTTAATATTATTACCTACTCTTCACCTGATTACAAGTTTTTAAAATTGAACATTAAATCTTCCTGTTCTGTGTCCTATTTCCTATGTCTCTGTCCTGGTGATCCTTAACTGTACAGTCATACCTTGGGTTACAGATGCTTCAGGTTGCGCGTTTTTGGGTTGCGCACCACGCCGAACCCGGAAGTACCAAAACGGGTTACTTCTGGGTTTCAGTGCTCACGCATGCGCAAAAGCGCCAAATTGCAACCCAAGCATGCGCAGACGCAGCACTGCGGGTTGTGAACATGCCTCCCGCACGGATCACGTTCGCAACCCGAGCGTCCACTGTACTGACCTCGAGCATAAAGGAAGTAATAGCTGAAATACAGTTTTCAAACACCTTTCACCTTGATGCTTAGTAAAGCCCTTGCCAAAGCATGTTTATAAAACAGGCAATTGGCCACTAGAGTTAAGTGTGTGCACGGACAATAAGTTTTATTTTTATTGTAATGTGTTTCAACAATTTTATGTGCTCTGAGCATCCAGCTATGGCAAGGTTTAAGCTCAGATAGTTAAAAATAAACCCTAGAACTTTGGTAACAGGACTGAGGTTTATTTGTGTTATTGAATGGTGGAGTGAAATTAAATGTGACAGTCGTTTTCTACTGATTTTGTTATTATTCACTGGGGAATTTATGTCAACTTCAAGTTTGACTCTTCCCACCCACCTTGTGAAAGGAGAACTATGTGCCTTTTTATCCTTAAAACTAACATTTTCAGTGTTCATTTTAAAGTGAAGAGAGTGTGATGAAGCATGTGGGGAAGGGCCATAGCTCAGTGGTACAGCATCTGCTTTGCATGCAAAAGGTCTCAGGTTCAGACTCTGGTGTACCCCAGGTAGGAATGGGAAAGGCAGGTTCCTGTCTGAAACCCTTCAGAGCCACTGCTAGTAATTGAAGACAATGCTGAATTAGATGGACCAACCATGATCCTTGCTGTTCTTAGGAAAAGTTGTGTAATCGCTGGCATGTTGCATGAAGAATCAGAAACTTAAACTTCAGACACTTCCAGACTACCTATGCATTCAGATTTGTTCTCAGGGAGGTTAGATATTGCATCAACACAAGTATTGCCCACACTTTCCAGTACAATTTCCTGTCAAGTTCCTTATCGCGAACAATTTGATCTTAGTAGGGAACAGGTTTGTTGTGCAAGGCTTTCTCACTGTACAACCTGAATTCCCTGGTAAGTGATTTAATCCAGGCTTCCTCAACCTCGGCCCTCCAGCTGTTTTGGGACTACAGTTCCCATCATCCATGACCACTGGTCCTGCTAGCTAGGGATCATGGGAGTTGTAGGCCAAAAACATCTGGAGGGCCGAGGTTGAGGAAGCCTGATTTAATCCCACCTGAAAATAGGGATAATCCGGAAGCACCTTTTGACTTTCTCTTGGCCTAGTGGAAGATGACCTGCCTCAGGATGAGAATCAGATGCCTGAGTGTTCTCTTGAGCATTGGTGTCCTTCCTTGTCAGTTTTAAAAGTAGTAAATATCAGGTAGGGTTGGTTTAAATCAAATAGCTGTTGCCAGAACATTCATAAACTTCAGAAGCCTCCTTTTCATTTCTACTCTCACTAGTGGTCAGTTTTGAGATGGATTATGCTGCTATCTCCCTTAAGAATCCATGCTAGCATTTTGCAGTAATTGCAACACTGTACCAAACTACAAAAGCCATACAGTGGTACCTTGGGTTAAGTACTTAATTCGTTCTGGAGGTCCGTTCTTAACCTGAAACTGTTCTTAACCTGAAGCACCACTTTAGCTAATAGGGCCTCCTGCTGCCACGGGGCCGCCGGAGCACAATTGCTGTTCTCATCCTGAAGCAAAGTTCCTAACCCGAGGTAATATTTCTGGGTCAGCGGAGTCTGTAACCTGAAGTGTATGTAACCTGAAGCGTATGTAACCCGAGGTACCAGTGTATGTAGCCTATGTCCTTGCACAACCCGGAATATGCTTCCCATGTGGGTTAAGTGTATTTACAGACTGCAACTCTTTCAAACTCCCCAGTTTCCTTCACACACCTGTCTTCCAACCTGAAACTCCCTCAGCAGTTTCTTTTGCTTTTTTTATCCTGCCTGTTTTTCCATTGCAGCCCTTTCTTTCTTATTTGGTCCCTTGGGAGAGCATGGCTGCCGGTGAAGGAACCAACTAGAGACATGAAACCTTGAGAGCAGCTGCAGCAAAACAGGCCACATCTCTTTCCTGCAGAAACCTGCTGCAGACGATTACAAAGTGAGAGCTAGCACAGGCACACACGCACTTATATTCAATAGGGATGAGCTAACCTCCCAGGAGAGTGACTAGGAGATAAACCAGGAGATAAACATTTATTAGAGGAAGTTCAACACTAATTCATCCTCTTTCTGTGCCAGCAAGAGGGGCCATGTCAAGGATTCAAAAGCCAAAAAGAGGTCATCAAACTACTCAATGAATTCTAAGGCTTCCTGCTTGACTGCCAGTCCTGGAACTAAAGACTTGCACAGCATCTTTGCAAAACTTCCAATCCGTAGAAGCTAAGGTTTTGCAAAGTTTTCTTAGCACAGAAATAAGCCAAGCTGTCTTGCAACATCTCCTTACAAAAATCTTTGTCCAGTATCTGAGGTGTAATTTATGCACTGGTAATGGCATGTGCTCTGGTCCATGGGGTCATGAAGAGTCGGACACGACTAAACGACTAAACAACAACAATGGCATGTTCAAAAGATCAGACACAAAGCTGACAAATGTTTAAAGGCACCTGTTGCAGAATGCTGAAATGTTGGAAGATTTGAGACAGTCAAGAGAAAGTTCTCACACAGTGCACTGTTAAACTGTATGGACTTTTGCTCCTACAGGAGGCAGTGATCGCCACCAGTCTGGATGCCTTTAAAAGAGAATTTGACAAAGTGGAGGAGGATAAGGCTCTCAACAGCCACTACTGCCTAGGATGGCTATGTTCTACCTCCACTGTCAGAGGCAGTATGCCTCTGAATACCATTTGCTGGAGATCACAAGCAAAGGAGAGTGCTGCTGCGTTCAGGTCCTGTTTGTATGATTCCTAAGCACTTCTGGGATAGAACAGTTAGAACAGAATGCTGAACTAGGTGGGCCATTGGCCTGATCCTGCAGGCTCTTAATGTTCACTTGCAATGGCACAGAAAGATAATCCAATTTCATAGAGTGGAGACAGATTGCCAATTCCTGCCCACCCCACCAATCATTGAATTGAGAGAGGGACCCTAGCTTACCCATTCACCACTTGAGATTGTGGGAGAAACAAGCTAGGAAGAGACCACCACCTGGAGGACAAGTGGGATTCTCTAAGGGCAGAAGAAAGAAGGAACTGGTGGAAGGAAGAAACAGTGATGGTCACTGATGGAGGAACAACAACTGGGGTGGGAGGAAGAAGAAACTCCTCGAGTTTCGAGGGCATGACTTTTGGCTTTCCAAAAATTAAAGATTGTGATATTATGTTTCTTAGCAATATTGATGTGTACCAAGCCTGAGTAGTGAGGAAAGGGGGAAAAGAGCTGGCAACTGGGAGGGGAAAAAATGGTCGTGTGCATCCACCCTCTGACTATTAAACAGAAGAGTGTGTGTTTAGAGGGTGGGGGTGAATGCTAGGACTAGATAGAGGAAATAGCTGAATAGGCTGCATAGGTAGTCTGGAGCGGCGGCGGCCGCAGCAACAGCAGCAGGTAGATCTCGATAGGATCTGGGTGCGCGGGGTGGGGGTGTGGCTGGCTGGCAGCCAGTGCCAAGCAGAGTCTCCATCTTCGCTCTCCCTCCCTCCCCGCCATCTGCTCGGCCGCACTTTGGCTCAGACCACACCCACCCGCTCCTTTCTTCCCCCGGGGGAGCGGGAGGCAGCAGCCAGCCAGCCAGCCCTCGCCAGTTGCCAGGAAGCCGTCCGTCGGCGATGCCCTCTGATTGGAACGCTGCGCTCATCCATCAGGGCGGCCGGCGGAGGGTGCCTGCTCGCTCCTCGCCGCGTCTCGGACCAGGAGGGGCCATGCCGAGGCTACGGGCTTAGCGGGTGGGGGTGGGTGGCGGCAGGAGGAGGAGGAAGAGGCTGGCTTTCTTGGCAGGCGAAAGGCGCGCCCAGCCACCTCCGGCTTCCACCATGAGTCCGGCGTGAGCGCAGCCGAGGGCGCACGGACATCTCCATGGTGCAGGACGGCGGCATGTCACGCACACCTTACAGCTCCAGCCAAGACATCCAGATGGAGGTCTTGGACAACCCGGGCCTCCAGGTGAGTAGCGGCGCAGCCCGATCCGTTGCCTTCTCCTGCCAGCCCGCTGGGCGGAGGACTCCTGGCGTTAGGGCGTGGGGAACTTTGGACGGATCTTTGCGCGGGGAGGAAATCGGAAGGAGGAGAGGGAAGGAGACCAAATAGAGAACGTGAGAGACCTTTAATCGCAAGCGACAGCCAGGCATCCTTCCCAGCCATCCACCCTCGGTCCTGGCTTTCACCCGTTTCTCACCACCACCGCCCCGCGTGTTATTGAGGGGGATGGTGTCGTCGAGGCAGGGAGAGGGTAGCTTTTATGTTTTCCTGGATCCTGACTTTGATCCTGGACACACAGGCACCTGGGGGGGGGGGCGTTGAGCCAAAAGGAGAGAGATGTGAGTCATGGAGTTGGAGGGAGAGAATGGCATATTTGAGGGTGGCGATGGTTTTTTAGAAGCTTGCCTAGCTACATAGAGGCGCACCAGGAATGTACCTTGCACAGCCCTTCTCCTCCCGCTTGGGATCAGTTATAGCCGCTCCCTTGCCTCTTCCATTACGGGATCGGCTCCCAGACGCCAAGGGCACCCACTTGGTGGAAAAAATGCATTGCTTTTCATGCTGTCCCTGCCGTGCCTTTCCATGCAAGCAGATGAGATTAAACCAATGCACGTCCATCCATCCAAACACGCAAAGATTTTGCAGAAAGCCCGACCAAAGGATCTTCTGGCTGTGGCCTGTACTGGGTCTAGAAGGGGCTGCATCAAATGAAGAAAGGGATTGCACCAGATATGTTAAGCACCATAGCCCTTGAGATCTGTTCCTGTTTCAGATGAGGGACTAGTGGCTAAAGCAGCCTTCGCCAGCTTGGTACTCTCCAGATGTTTTGGACTACAACTTGGATGTAGTCCAAAACGCCTGGAGAACACCAGCTTAGCAAAGGCTGGGTTAAAACATTGGGAGATGAAGACCACTTGTTCCTGCTCTCTGCCACTGACTTCCAGCCTCATCTCCCATGACTCAGATTCCTCTCATCTGGAAAAAGAGGAGTAATGGTTTGAGGTATTTGGGTGGCACACACAGCTGCACATGGAGAAGGTGCTCATGGAATCTCCATGGGTTGGTTTGGAAGTATACAAATCTCTTGAGGAAACTTGGCACTAAACACACAAGACCACCCAGAGCTTCTCCCCCACCTCTGTATCTCCCAGCAGCTTCTACAGCCAATAGGACCCTGGTGGATCTATCAACAAGTTTCAGAAGGGACTGCGGAGGTGGTATCAGTCTTCTCTATGGGGTAGGAAAATTCTAGGGTGAAGATAAGCCAACATCAATCTTGTATGGTCTAGCTATTTCTGTTTTATCTAGAATTCCTGTCGTCTGCTGCTGTGTGCTCAAATGTATATAGCAAAAATGCATACTCAGCCCTTTTTAAACAGTTCAGGTATAGCAACACTACACTAAGTGCTCTGGGTAGTGGGTCCTTGTTTATTTACTGTATTTTATTATAATGGCCCCCTAGGTGGGTTTGCGACATAAACTCACACAGAATAAGGGCTTGTTTCTACACTGCTGGATTGATTGTAACCTCTAACTCAAACGTCCCTGTTCCATTATCTCAAAGTGCAAGATGGCTGTCTCGCTGCTTCTCTTGTTCATCATAGTTGTTATCTTTTGTACGCACTCTTCCTGAAGCACGTAAGAAGCGCCTCAATGGCTCAGGCTGAGGTTTGCTCAGTTCATCATTCTCTCCAAGAATCCCAGCAAGCAGTAAGGAACCTGTAGCCCACCAGATGTTGTTGAACTCCCATCAGCCCCAGCTAACCTGGTCTGTAGTCAGGGGTGATGGTTGCAGTCCAGCAATATCTGAAAGGCCATAGATTCCCCACTCCTGCTGCAAGTGGTCCACTGAAAACTGGCAGTGCTCCCCTAGCAAGTCCACCATTGCCTGCTGCCCCACTCTTGTCCTAGGGGTAGAGGATTGGCCCAGGGAAACAAGGGTTAGTGTGAACCTGTGGTTCTGATGGAGCGTGTAAGGAGGTTGCCAAGACCTTGTTTGATTCATTTTAGGGAAGGGGTACTAATGTATTTGACTCTAGTGATCAAATGTAGGTACTGGGAGACAACAACTCAGATTGGACAGCAGGTCAGTTTTAGATAATATGAGAGGTCAAAATGTCCAGCCTCCCTCTCTCTTTGTGGGTTGGGTGGATGATAACAGAGTAAGTGGATCTCAGTGGCAGAATGTACTAAGCCAATGTACCTACCTGGTCCTGTTTGTGAGATCTAAGAAATGGGAGATTCTGGATCCTTTTTCTTTCATTTTATATTTTTCCTAATGTTATTCAAGTATGCTTACAGAAGAAAAAGAACAAAACATAGCTACCAAAGTAAGCTTGGTACATGTAGGGAGGTTGGAATATAAAACTGGTACAGACAACCAAGTACAGAAAAAGACAGCAGGATACAGGATAGGTGATGGTGTTTTAAAGATTCCAGGTTCTAATGACTATTTATGAGCTTCAAGGGAGTGTGAGAAATACCAGCTTGAAGGAAGACCTCAGAGGAGATATACCCCAAGCTGAATGATGGATAAGAGAGTAGTAGCTTGATACCTTTGCCCTGTTTTGATGGGCGTATCAAGCAAAGGCTTCTGGTGACAGAACCCAATATAAGGCCACCTTAGCCAAAACTGTGCCCTCTAGATCAGTGTTTCCCAACCTTGGGCCTCCAGCTGTTTTTGAACTACAATTCCCATCATCCCTGACCACTGGTCTTGCTAGCTAGGGATGATGGGAGTTGTAGTCCAAAAACAGCTGGAGGCCCAAGGTTGGGAAACACTGCTCTAGATGCTGTTGAACGACACCTCCTATCATCCCTGACCGTGGGCCACGTTGGCTGGGGCTGATGGCAGCTGTGCTCCAAACAACACTTGAAGTTGGCCACCTCTACATTAGAGTACACGTTTGCTCCTATTGATGGGATGGTGAGATATGTGGTCCTTAAGTAGTTCGGTCTAGCTCAGTGCAGCAGCAATGCCCCCACCCGAACCTTAAACATATAGCCTCCCAGCACCAGCAATTCCCCCATTTCATCTGAAACTCGCAGAGAGTAGTGCTCCACCCACTCTCTTGGTGTGTGGAATGTCATGAGTGAGTCTACCCCTTTTCCTCCTTTTGTCCCTCTCTGTGGTCCCACCCCTACCCCCCAGGTGGTGGATCCCGACTGCTCTCTGCTGCTATGAATGACGCACGTGCCTTAATTAGAACAAGCGGGGAGGAAAGGCCTAAAAATACCCAGCCCTCCGGTCTCTGCCTCCTTGCCTTGCCCTGCCTGGCCTTAGAACTACGAGAACCATGTCTGCGGGGGCCTGGTAACAACTGCCTTCTCCTCTGCCAGCTGTCCCTCTCCCTCTCCCTGAGACATACTTGGGAAGTGTCTGGTTCATTCTAGCCCCCCCCCCCACTCCATGCTCCCTCTCTCAACACACCCTAGAGAGAAGGGTCTGGATTTTTCTGGGGACTGTCCCTCTGCAAAAAAAAAAAAAAAGGCATGGGGCGGAGCTGTGATTCTTAGAAGCAGGTGGAAGCATGAAGCCGGTACATTTATTTCCCCCCTCTCCAAAAAAGGAACCTAGTGATGCTTGTTTTCTATATAAAGAGAGAGAGGGAAACGCTGCCGTGACCAGCAGAGGGTGATGAACTGGGCAGGGAAGGAAGCAGAACTGTGGGGAATATGGCAAGAGCTGCCTGATACTTATCCACCTGAGGATGCAGGAGAGAGATCCTTCCTCCCTTTCTCTTTTTGCTTTGAGTCCTACACTTACCGCCCTGCTCCTGTTCTTTTGCTGGCCTTCCCAAGTTATCTTCCTGCTCTCTCCCACTGAAAACTGCGCTTAGTTCTCTCCATCCTTTCCGGCCTCATATGTGGGGGAAATGTCCTACGGCCTGCAATATTATAGCAACTGATCAGGGGCTTTCTCTAAATTCTCCAAGAATGTCTCACAATCATCCCAGCAGTTCATACAACTGGGTAGGGAAGCCTGTGATCTCCTGGTGTTCCTTGGCTGGGGCTCCCATCATCCCTAACCATTGACCATGCTATCTGGGGCTGTTGGGAACTGGAGGCCAACTACACTTGGAGGGCCCCAGGTTCCACAGCACTACAACAAACCTTGTATGGTCCAAAACAGGCTTCCTCAAACTCAGCCCCCCCAGATGTTTTGAGACTACAGTTCCCATCATCCCTGACTACTGGTCCTGCTAGCTAGGGATCATGGGAGTTGTAGGCCAAAAACATCTGGAGGGCTGAGTTTGAGGAAGCCTGGTTCAACAATTTTTTTAAAAAAAAAAACCATCTAAAAACGTGTAAAACAGCCCTCTCACCCAGCTAATAATGTTAAGGTTGCCAGGGGCAGTGTCTTTCAGCCATAAAGTCCCTGCATTATGTTTCAGCCATCAATATTTTTGAGTTCTTGCTGAAAATTAAGGAGCTGCACCTCACCAGAGAGGGCATTCCACGAATGGGGAGATGCAACCAAGAATGTTATGGAGCAGTGCCAATTGGGCAACACCAACAAGCCCTCCGTTGCCTATCTCAGGGCCTGGTCTATAGAGCACTGATCGATTGCTTTCAACAGCCTTCACCAACCTGGTACCATCCAGATGTTTTTGACTACAACTCCCATTACCCCCAGCCAACATGGCCATCCTTAGGCCAACTTCTGGCATCCTTAGTATTGGATCCGAGTTGCAGAGTCCTTGTGTCTGACGTGACCCATACACAGCTCATGAATTTGGCAGTGCTGTACTCAGTTGCCCCTCCCATTAAGTGGAAATGAATATTCTGGCATTCCTTTTTAACCCTTCTGTGCCTGTAGCAGGTTTGAGCACAAAACATATCCCAGCTGAGCTACTCCTTAGCAATGTATCAGTTGCATATATAACTCTGGGCATGTTTGTGTGGAGTTTTGGAGTGGTGATCCTAATCTGCATTAGTGAAATGCGAGTACAGAATCAGTGTCTCTTAAGTTAGGTAAAGGTAAAGGGACCCCTGACCATTTAGGTCCAGTCGTTACTGACTCTGGGGTTGCGGCGCTCATCTCGCTTTACTGGCTGAGGGAGCCAGCGTACAGCTTCCGGGTCATGTGGCCAGCATGACTAAGCCGCTTCTGGCGAACCAGATTAGCGCACGGAAATGCTGTTTACCTTCCCGCCGGAGCGGTACCTATTTATCTACTTGCACTTTGACGTGCTTTCAAACTGCTAGGTTGGCAGGAGCAGGGACCGAGCAACGGGAGCTCACCCCATCGCGGGGATTCGAACCGCCGACCTTCTGAGCGGCAAGTCCTAGGCTCTGTGGTTTAACCCACAGTGCCACCCATGTCCCTTGTCTCTTAAGTTACTGCAGACTAAAAGGAAGGTCATCTTTTGCATGTACACTTGCGTGCAGAGTTCCTTTCCTTTTGCAGCTTTGAAGCAGTTTTTGATTGTTTTGATCCAAGGCCTTGTGTGAGGTGTGGCTTCCCGTTATGCTTGCTAATATGCTTTGCAAGGTAATTAGTGTTTGGATAGCCTTCCACTACCATCTCCCTGTGCTCTGATAATTGGTGTCTGGCCTATGATGCTGTGGGTGGGCAGCAAGACCATCCAGGACTCTGAAGAGCAGATGGATGTGTCAGATGGTTTTATGGCCGTGCCATGCAGGGTCAAGTGGTGTGTGTGTGTGTGTGTGTGTGTGTGTGTGTGTGTGTGTGTGAGAGAGAGAGAGAGAGAGAGAGAGAGAGAGAGGCCCTGTTTTTTCCATCTCCTCACAGGCACCCACACTCTGATTAGGTTTAGGCACAAGGATATATGAGAGAAAATGAGTATGTGTGGGAGAGAAGTAGCAAATAAAAACATAATGATATACATAAATGGAACAGAGTCTGAAAACCCTACTCAGTCTTGTTTTGACAACTGCCAAGGCCTGGTACTCAGGTAAATGTAATTGCCTCCTTATGCATGTTGGAGAAGATCCTCTCTGATTACTGTGGTTGATGACCAGCTGCCCCTGTGTGAGGATGGAGAGGATTCTGATTTCAGTATCAAAACAATTACAGCTCATCATGATTTATAATCATTTTGGTCTATGCTGGGACAGTCCTGTGATGTGTGGATTTATTGGCTAATCTCATCCACCCCCACTCTCCCTTTACCTTCGTCAGACACTATTCTCTATATGCCCATCTTACATAGATATAAACTCTCCAAGCAGGAAAGCTGTGTCTGTTGCTTTCAGCACGTAGCAGACTTCTGGTACTGAATGTATTTTACCTATTTGTTGTCCAGTGTTTTTGCCTTCCTTGAGAAGATCAAGATACTGTTTCGCTCAGGTCTGGTAAACCTCTGGCCTGCCAGATGTTGTTGTGCTACAGCACCCATCATCCCTGTTCATTGACCATGCTAGTTGGGGGCCAATGGGAGTTGGGGTCCAACAATATGGTACTGGGGGAGCAAGCCAAGGAGAACAATGCAAAACTAGGTTTATTTTTGTTTTGTTTTGTAGCTTTGGTTTAGCAGTGAGTTGCATACACTTACCTAGGTCTGCGCTTGCATTTATTCCTACCACCTTTGCACACTCTCTGATCTTGGCATCCTCTTTAACCTCCTAGGGGAAATATAGCAAAAGGAAGAATCGCTTCAAACGCTCCGATGGCAGCACCTCATCTGACACGACTTCAAACAGTTTCGTCAGGCAGGTAAGCTCAAGCGGAGGGAGGGGGGTGGGAATCGAAGGGCTGCAGGGGCAAAACGTGAAGTTTATAACTGAGGGAATTCACATCTCTCACATGCTGTTTGCTGCTTATTAGTACATGGCATTTGAAAGAACAGCACACATTAATTTCAATGTGCCCTGCTGTGATTTCTCTGACTTTGAGAATCTCCCTCCAGTGGGCAGCGTTTTCATTGCAAGTTTGCTATTTCTCCCACCTGCTGCAAAGGCGTAACTCAAGGATGAGAAACTGAATGGGGAGTTTGGAGAGAGCTTTCAGGATTAAAGGGATGGGAGTCAGGGGTGAAGAGATTCCTTCCCAAGCACATGCCTAGTCACTTTCCACAGCTCACAGGCTCTTTCTCTCTTTTCCCTTGCTACACCTCCCTGCTTCCCTTGCCTTCCTGTTCCTCATCCATTGCCAAAGGAAATGCTAATACGACCAGTGGATTGGCGCAATAGCTCATGCAATTATGAAAATGCCAAATTACATTATTTGACGTTTATTCTGAACACTTACTTTTAAATGTCATTGATGCAGAATTAGGAATTCTCTCGAACTCTCTTGGCACCTTCCTCCTCTCAAAATATTTTGCTCTGGGCAATGAGGAATGTATTTCCATTTGTGGGTGGCAGCAAATCCACATTCCCCCCCATGTACAATAACCAGTTAAATAGGAAGAAGCAGTGCTCTTTTTCAGGGGATACTCAAGTGTATGCACTACTGACACCTCTTCTGTTGTTGTTAAAAAGTGTGGCACTTATTGTAACAACTTCATGGTGCGTACTGGCACCCATTTTTCTAGGAAAAAAGGCACTGGGAAGAACTATGCCTGAGAATGAAAAATGTGCTCTCTAACTTAGATGCCATAGATCCACTTGGTCCCTCCCCACCCCCAAAGGGCTCTGTGAACAAGGCAGCATTTGGTTACTCAGGCAAACTACAATCCTACACCCACTTACCCAGGAGCAACTCCCACTGAACTCAGTGGGTCTGACTTCTGAGTAAGCTGCTTTGTTAGAAAGCTGCAGCTGCAGCGTATGGAGGATCTAAATGCTTACAGAAGCCAAGGCAGCAAAGAAATGACTAGAGGCTAAGATTCTGGAAATCAGTCCGTGTCTGCTATACAGTAAACCAGGGGTCAGCAACCTTTTTCAGCAGGGGCCAGTCCACCATCCCTCAGACCATGTGGTGGGCCAGACTATATTTTGGGGGCGGGGGGGGGGGGAATGAATGAATTTCTATGCCCCACAAATAACCCAGAGATGCATTTTAAATAAAAGGACACATTCTACTCATGTAAAACACGCTGATTCCCGGACCATCCGCGGACCGGATTGAGAAGGCGATTGGGCCGCATCCGGCCCCCGGGCCTTAGGTTGCCTACCTCTGCAGTCAACTAACAAAGGGGATGGCACTGATATCTGATGGTTCCTTGTGCCTTTTTACCCCACAAAGGAAAGTTTTCAGAAGGGCAGTCTGAGATCAAAGACAGGCCGTTTCCTTTCATCCTTCAACTTGGCTGTTGAGGCTTTAACTTGGGGGTGGGGAACCTCAGACCCAAAGGCCCCATCTCTGTCTAGCCCTTGGGACCACACCTCCTCTCCCTAGGCCACGCCCCTCACCAGCTCTGGTGAATAGAGGAGACAGAGAGGTGTCTGAATGTGTGTAGAAACCAGCCTGCTGTACAAAGGGAAAATTTGCACCCGTTGCTCTGCCCACCTTTGCCTGTGCACCCCCAATTGGCATGTGGCCCCCAGAAGGTAATGCGGCCCTCAGGCTGAAAGAGATTCTCTGTTAAGCTCATCAACTGTTAAGCAGTGTTTTGTTTCATTGCAATTTATGTTTACGCAAAGGGATTATTAGTAAGGTATAAGCCCATCTGCGAGAGTCTAAGGTTTTGTTCCCTTACAACTATTACCTGCTGGATGTCCAGTGTTTTCATAGCTGGCTTCCTGGCCCCCAAATTTGACACCTGGGTGAAAGGTGCCAGGAACTGCACCTCTCCAACCCACCCAATGTGTTGGTTTTCATTTCGACCACTCTTGCAGTTTCTTGCCTCTGCAAATTGAGGACAAACAGAAACCTCTTTGTCCCTCACGTAGGGAAGCAGTGAGGTTGCCATAGCAATCCCCCATCTGGTTGAGTGTCTGGAACTGAGTGAGGAAGAAACTCAGCCCTTGTGTAGTAGATTTGTAAGAAAGAGGGTACAAAGTAAGTGCGAGAAACCTTGTTTCCTCTGATGGGGACCCTGTGGTTCAAACACTGCATCAGATCAGAATCCACGGTCTTCTGCTTAAAAGGCAACAGGCGTCTGAGGTGAGATATGTACATTTCCATCCCCTTGCCAGGTGGAATCACTACTCTGTGCTCTCTGTCTATGCTAGAAAGAGACAGTCTTTGTCTCAATCTTTTCTATGGTTGCTGTCTGGTAACTTTATCTGTACCAGGGTTGTAGTGCGCCGTTGTCCCATGAGTTCATACTTAAGTTCTTCAATTGCATTTTAAAGTTGCTACACTCCTTTTGCTTTTCAGGACTGACTATGAACTTTAGCCAAGGCTACAGCTGTTTGTCCTCAACATCACATGGTCACACAAATTTCAAATTCTGTACAACTTTGACAAATTCTAGTATTTTAAAAAGTATTCTAACTAAGCAAACCTGCATGTTTTGTATTGCATGACTTATTCTGCCTTGAAGATCCAAGTTGTTGTTTTTAATGCAGCTTTTTGGATGAGCAGTGGCAAAATGGAGGGAGGAATAGAGTTTGGTGACAGAAGCACTTAAGGGGCAGGAACTAGTGGGGGCAGTAGCTACATTCCATTTGTAGCACCCACCCCCCCATCCTAAAGTCTTTGGCCAAGTTAACATCAGAAAACATTTCTAAATCTTGAAAACAACACTTCCATTGCTCTAGTCCTGGCCACAAAATGTGACCTAATTCCTATTGTGTCAGGAAACAACTCAGGCTCAAGTTTTGGTGAGTCTCCGTGAGTCTCCCCTCTGGCTTTGCAGACGTCACCATGCCCTCCCATTTATTTATTTTTTCCTTTTCACATTTTGACAACAGTTACAAGAACTGGAAATCTTCTTTAAAAAGATTTCCACAGTAGGTTGCTGCCGATGAAAGCTCATGCTGCAGCTCAGAAGTAAATCCTATTGAATTCATTGGGCCTTGGCAAGTGAAGTTCTGATTGCAACCAAAATCTCTAGAGTCTAAGTTAAAAGTGTTCTTTTGTTGAAATTAGAGTGTTAATACGATAATATGGATGCGGGGTAAATTTGCCTATTGCGTAATACTGAGGTTCTGCTTAAATAGAAAAATTAAAGACTAAAAAAGAAAGGGAAAAAAAAATCTATGAAGGCCCTGTTGCTTCAGCATCATCACGACCAAGTTGTGTCTTGCGTGGACTAATAGTCTGCCCCCTTTATAACACATCCTTCTCTGTCCTAGGCCCTGTGGTTCCCTCACCCGCACCCATTTTCTAATGTGTGAATAGAAAGAATCGGGGAATCGAAGGAGAGCTGCCGGGAGGGAGGGATGGGGAATCTGTGACCTGAACTTGTGTTGCCATAGTGATGACGTAGGAGGCCGTTGCTATGGTGGAGATTCCTTGAGCAGGCCTCCGGCAGAGCACCAGAGCACTTTTTTAAAAAGCGCTTGCATGCTGAGCGTTCCCTCCATCCACAGTCGAGGCCCTTTTGTGGTTCTCAACGCTGCTGCAGGGTCTGGAGAGGGAAGGAGGAACAAATCACAGCAAAAGGTTTATTTTTGAGACTCTGCAAGGACGCCGTCTGAGAAGGAAATTGGGACAAGGGGAAAGGCAGGGGCTCCTGCTGGTTGGGAGGGGAATTATAAACACGGGGCTCCAAACAACAGCAAAAAAACAACAGCACTCCAAATGTCCGTTATCTCCTCATGCCCTTCCTCTTCTGCCTTCTGGATATGAGTTTCCCACCTTTGCCCAGAAGAGGGCAGTGTATGACTTCTGATGCCCATAGCCAAGAAGGCAAATTGACAAGCCACATCCCAAATTATGAAGGTGAGGGGCTGCCCCCCTCTCTCTTCTCCTTTTTCTCCTGATATCTTGTTACTCTGAGACCAAGGAAAAGGTGGCTAGTAGAATGAGGTGTAGAAACAGTGGCTGTGTACACACTATAAAATGCTTCTGATGCACATTCAAAGCCTTTCCCTGCCAAGAATTCTGGGCACTGCAGTTTACCCCTCACAGAGTTACAATTCCCAGGAACACTTAAGAAATTATGGTGCCCATAATTCTTTGCAGGGAAAGAATGTGCTCTAAATATATAGTGTGTACACAGCCAGTGTTATGATCTTGAAGCGAGAGAGTTGATATGATTACCTAACACTAAGGATTGTTGGTTTTACATAGAATCATGGAATCATAGAGTTGGAAGGGACCATGAGGATCATTTAGTCCAATCCCCTGCAAGGCAGGGATCTTTTGCCCAACATGGGGCTCAAACCCAGGACACTGAGATGAATAGTGTCATGCACTACTGACTGTAGGAAACCTAAGTTAAAACCCCACCCCACTCCATGAACGTGGCTTTGGGCAAGTTAATTGTCTTATCTCTCAGTCTTATGTTCTTAAAGGTAAAGGTACCCCTGCCCGTACGGGCCAGTCTTGACAGACTCTAGGGTTGTGCGCCCATCTCACTCAAGGGGCCAGCGCTGTCCGGAGACACTTCCGGGTCACGTGGCCAGCGTGACATCGCTGCTGTGGCGAGCCAGAGCCGCACACGGAAACGCCGTTTACCTTCCCGCTAGTAAGCGGTCCCTATTTATCTACTTGCACCCGGGGGTGCTTTCGAACTGCTAGGTTGGCAGGCGCTGGGACCGAACAATGGGAGCGCACCCCACCGCGGGGATTCAAACCGCCGACCTTTCGATCAGCAAGCCCTAGGCACTGAGGCTTTTACCCACAGTGCCACCCGCGTCCCTTATGTTCTTACTTAGATT